AAAATTTAAAAATAAAATGCCCTCCTCATAATTTGAAAGATGAATTGGTTTTGAGAAAATGAACAAGAAGTAATCCGCAGGTGTGCACAAGTGACTGAAGCACTGGGAGATAACGGATGCAAGAAAGCAGACATTATGGCCAATAGAGAGAATAGCAATGGAATAGGAGCACCCTGGTGTATTGTCATGCAAAAGATACCGAGGAAAAGAGTGGAAAAACATCTTAGTGATACAAGGATTTAATGGCGAAGTCTTCTGAAAAGTTTTCTAAGTAATAACACTTTTCAATTAGGTGCAAAACCTTCATATTCATAAGACACTATAATGCATGAAGGAACAAACCGTTGGTTGCCCATGTGATCAAACCGTTTTGGATGAAAGTTGCCGAACAGCTTCATAACAAGAAATCTTCTAGACTATAAACATGGTATCAACTCCTTAAAGTGGTTTGCTGTAGTTCATATGCAGTGGAGTAAGCTGTTTCCGATCACAGTAATCTGTAAAATATCAGTCTCCTAAACCAAAGCTTTGGGTTCACAGTGAAGCGATGGATAGTCTAAGCGTTTTGGTAACATTTCAGTGCGCTATAACTTCACTAATTATTGATTTGATTACTTTTGGCTAAGTATCATTGTTACTAGCTAATCAGTTTTCCCTAATATACTATTCTTGTGTACCTTATTTGCTTCTTTTATTTGATGAACCGATCTATTACTCATATCCATCCTTTATTAACTCGTCAACCACCTTATTTTCGATGATGTAAGTGAACCGAAGTACATGCTACTTGTCATTTCATTTTCACGAACTTCCCAACCTGTCTGCACGTCTAACTGACAGTAGTGGAAGCCTCTTTTATGTTGTCGAGTCTTGTTTCTTGTCCGACTTTCAAACTGATGTGTATCTCCGTAACACATGATGGTACATATAAGAAGTATGTAGGGAACTCGGCTGGACAGTTTCACTGAAATTTATAAATTGAATTAATCCTGCCTTCTATGCATTTTTCGCTTGTTTTAAATTTGCTTTCCAGCCAACAATGTGCCTGAAATCTTTTCAATGAATTTGGATGGCAAACTGAATTAATTGAAAGATTTCATAGCCAGTTGCTAAGCGTACAGAAAACTGCTGCTTTCTTTTGAGAACAGCTGAAAGTGAATGTCGGTTTATGATGTACTACTAAATTTAACATTTTTTAGGGAAATTTTCAAACTCCCACACATAACTTTTCACAAAACCCTTTCCAGAAATTCTATTTTAGAAGCGGTATTTATCATGGGCTGACATTAGTTAGGGAACCATTGAAAATCTGAGAGCTCCAGACAGCTGTTTCGTCCTGGTATGGAACTCCTCAGCTGTACGCATACACGACCCGGCTTGTGGTTGAACTCGAGATCTACAGGTTTCACGGCGAACTCGTTGACCAGTCAGCCATCGGATCGGTTTTCGGTGGTTTATGGTTTCCAACCAGTCAGTCCGTGATACAGCACGACTGTTACCCAAGGTCTCCGGTTAGCACCCGCCTCACTTCAAATTGGTTGACCCCACAGGTCACAACTTCTCACTGTGAACCATGTAAAACCGACCTAGTGGCTGAATGGTCAACGTGTTCGCCGCGAAACTTGAAGGTCCTGAGTTCGAGCCCTGGCAGGGTCGGGGGTGCTTACTGCTGAGGAGTCCCATACTAAGACGAGATGGCTGTCCGGTGCTTCCGGACTTTTAATGGTTCCCCAATTTATATCAGTCCATGATGAATACTACTACTTAATTAAAAAATCCCCATTCATCTCGAAAGTAAATATTTTATTCTCACATTAACAGCTTAACATGATGCAGGCCAAACAGACATCATCACACTGATATATGTTGGAAAATCTACGAGATTTTACGGGACCTAGATGGTACAAAAGAGAGGTCATTAAATTCTACTAAAAACATCAGATTCCACAAGTTATGAAATGAACACGAAAATACCTCTTATCAGTAGATGCAAAGCGTTAAAGCTTGGACCGTTTTCAGTCATACTTTCTTTTTCACCATTGGTGACACCAAGGTCGCACGAAATTCCGAATTTCCGTCGCAAGTAGTCGACACGTTTGATTCGTCTTCGTAGATTGACACCCACAGTGAAAACCGCATTTACGCATCTGAGTTCGCATCGATGATCACGAAGTCATAATGTTGCATCTTTGAAAAATAAACACAAAACGGCCGAATACGAATGCGATACTTACAAGCCTATCTTCAAGGTTTTACCATTTAAACTTTCATATTTACTTTTAAGCTGTTCGGATTTTCGTGCGAATCACACATCTTTGGTTTATGGTACTTGCAGTTGCTCCGATTTGGATGAAAAGAACGACTTCAGATGATGACTGCATAAATTTCGTTTCTGCAAGGGTGTTAAGCGAGGTAAAAAGCTGCAAGACCGAATTCGTATCTGCTTTTTGCTATATACAAGGTGAAACAACCAATGAAGGCTTCCTAGAATAACGCCGAAGTGCTAGGGTAGTCTGAATGCTTTTAAACGGACCAATACATATGGTCGCCGAAAAACTGTCAGAGCTTAGAGCAAGGAAATGAACGGAGCTCTAAACAACCGGTAGTCTACGTTGTTGAAGTAGAGGGGTGAGCACTGTGACTCGTGCTGTAATCGTTTCTAACACTTAATGTTGAAGACAAGTCCCAAGAGGGCGAAGTGCTCTAGCGGCACACCACTATCCAGAGACGATAAGTTCGGGTTCAAAGAGATTCAGCATGGATGCCGACCTTCATGGCTTTATCGGACTCGCCAAGCTGAAGGCACGTGGTCAAGCACCCATGCCACTCGGTAGGTTGTCGTGTTATATTGCACCACTCGTAATCAACCCTCTAGCCAGCTAGTCGACATGCATCGGCGTTTTGGCATGACCTATCATGCATACCGTTTCCGTCCGGCTACACCATTATGTGCGTCCCTGGCCTTCCATTTGTGTGTGTTACAAACATGAATACTCGGTGTCTGGCCTCTGCATCTGTCAAGTTCGTGCAAGGATGATTCCTTAACTGGTTAGCCTGTCTCTTGTTCTACTTGTGCGTCTTTATTTTCATATTGACGACTTTGTTTATCCACCTTAAACTCTAGGAATTGTCCTGGTGCGAACTTGATACGCGCAGAGGCCAATCACTAAGTATTCGCACTTGTAATACACCCACGAATGAAAGGCCAGGGACGCACATAATGGTGTAGCCGGACGGAAACGGTATGTTTGATGAGTCGTGCCAAAACACCGATGCATTTCGACTAGCTGGCTAGAGGGTTGATTATGAGTGGTGCAATATAACACGACAACCTGCCTAGTGGCGTGGGTGGTTGACCGCGTGCCTTCAGCTTGGCGAGTTCGACAAAGCCAAGAAGGTCGGCATCCATGTTGAATCTCATCTTACCCTGGGCTACTGATTCTGAAGAAGTGTGTAACGCTACAGATCACTCCCCCTCTAATGGGTTCGTGGGGGCCCTAAGACAATACTGGCCAGTAGGAAAAACCCAATGGATTAGTCGCTGTCAAAACTCCTCTGAAAGACTCACTGCGAGAAGTGGCCCCTGGTTGTTTGAACTTATTCTAGGGTGCCGTGGCGAATGAAAAAATAAAATACAATACATCGGATTGTAGCGTTACACTTCCCCAAAATACAATAGCCTAGGGTTTGACGGGATTCAACATTGATGCTGACCTTGACAGTTTAACTGGACTCGCTAAACTAAAGGCACCCGGTCAAGCATCCTCACCATTTGGCACGCTGTCGTGTTACGTTGCGTTGCTCGTAAATGACTCTAGCAAGTTAGTTGGAACGCATCGGTATTTCGGCACAACGACCCAAATATACTTTTCCATCCGACCGCGCTATTGTGCTCTTCCCTGGCCTTGTATTCGTAGGTATATAACAAGTTCGAGTGATTGGTCTTTGCTTCTGTCAAGTTCGCACCAGGACAATTCCTAAGGACCTAACTGCCTTGGCGGTATGTACTCTTATCACATGAGTTTTATCGAAATGACTTGAGACTAATGCCAACAGAACGGCTACAAACCAGCTACAATTATCCATAGGAGTTACTGAGAGCTCACTCAGTATTACACTTCATACGCAGACATCGATATATTATAGCCCAGCAACTTCTGAATCTTCGAAAAACCAAAAAGTTGTCTCACTTCGAGGTCCACAATGTTACTGACCTATACTATCAAAAACAGGCGTGAACATCACAAAGAAAGTTCAAAGGCAAACCACGAAGGGTTTTGCAGAGATACGGAAAAAGCACTATTACGATAGGCTTAGGGGTCTCGGCATTTACACTCCCAGTTATCGAGTGTTCCTTTGTGATATGATGACACCCGACAAGATCCTGAGGAATTCCAGTCATCTGTAAAGTGAAATTTTATCAGGCGGTCTCTTTGACAATCCTTGGGTAAACCTACAGAGAATTATCCACTGAAGAGGGGAGATCCAGATGTGCCCACACTTTTTACCTCTTGAAGTTTGCGGCAGCCAAAATGCACTGTCTGCGGCCCCGTCCATTGACAGCTTCACAGCGACATATCGCCTGTGCTCATCCGGTCATGGTACGGACTAGACCAAAGCAACCAAATGATTCCGAATCACTTCAACATGTTTACCCCAAAACTGACTCTCTGGTGTCGTCACTGTTATCAAGAATACGACTCAATTTATCCCCCTCTGTTAGACCACTCTAGTCACAGTGCACACACTAATACCATAATTTTTTTCACTCCCCATTAACCCTACTATAAGCTTACCTGCTCATTTTCTTCACTTTGACTGTCTAAGAATTCAGCCTTTTTAACTGATGTTATTCATATCACTTTTATTTTTCATTTTTCTTGATGAGTACGTAAATCTACTGCATCGAAATCCAGCAAAAACCCGGAAGTGTTCCACAAGGCAGGTGAAAGAGGGAGAACAAATCATTTGGTCTAAAGAAGCCCATAAAAAAATATCGGATGTTGGAACATTGGACGCCACGGTTAGCTTTTCATAGTGAACGTTACCTGACTGAGGTTTGTTATTTGATTGGCTCAATTTAAGTGGCGTTTGTTTGACCACTTCTCACTGTAAAAGCTCTGTATTTCGTAAGAATACTACAAATTAGTTTGGCCTAGTAGCTTTATCTATACGTATGATTATTCCCCTGAGTTCTATTAAGCTTGCAAAACTTCTTCGTATTATATAGTGTAGTAGGAAAACGAATATTCGTTTTCCTATTGTCATTTAACTTCTTATTTAATTATATAATGTCATTTGTGGGCAGGGGTGGATGGTAGTAGCACAACCAAATACCAAGCAGCTAGCTTTGAACAACTAGTGAGGTTGCTTAAATGTTGACCGATAGGACAGTAACAATAAACAGTTTTCACTTTGTGTTGACAAAGAACTAATTGAACAAAGCAAATTTTGGAAATACGACTATTCATAATTATGTTCTTGTTGGTGAGATGAAAGTATTCGGTTGCCATTTCTGTAGGAAACGTTATTTTCCAAGAGATAGTGTTTCATTCCGTTGCATTTCAGGAACTTTTTTCTCTAAATCAAGTGTCACTGGCAAAAATACTGTTCATTCTTAATTGCTTATTAAAAGCTGAGATTCACAAATCAATCACCGACACATAGATATTCGATGAAAGCATTCTGAGGTAATATTATTATAATTCTGACAATAGATGGCTCAGTAAATGAAGTGGTTCGCGACCCTCTGGACAAATAAATGTATAAAAGGTGGTGCATTTATTCTAATAGGTGTTTCAATGATAAACTGGTTAACTTTTATTTACAAGGAGTCAACTCTATCTGGAAGTTTTCGTTTAATTTATATGCACCTATTACCGCTGTAATGCGTTTCCATTGTTCGGTTATTCTGGTTGGTTGTTCAGGTTCATTCGGTTAGTAGTTCGTTTTTATGGCTACCCTTCGTGTACGCCTACTTTCACAACATGTCGGACTGAAAACACATATAGTCAAGACATTTGAAGCGAGTTTTGCAGTTACCGTGTCCTTCTTATTCTTTACCTTACTGATTAATGTCGTAGGCAAAAATACTCTGTTTGTTAGCGATGTATCATCAAGAGAGGATAAGGTAGTGGGGAAATATTTAAGTTCAGTACAGCTATTCAAATAAAAATGTGTATGCATTTGCGCCCCTAATACAAATCATAAGCCATATCACCTAGTCTCAAACCACTGGTTTCTCTTCTGATAGGGACTCCAACGAGGAAGTCTACATTTTCCTACACGGCTGAGATCAGAAATTAAAGACTTCATTGACATGCCATGTTTTAACCTGGCCACTCCTAACCCTTTTCCAGCCTGGAACTACCTCGTCTAACACTATGCGACAGAGTAGATAGGACTAGGCATGCGTAACGCTTGTCTCATCCACGTTAGTCAATAAAGGTTCAAAACTCCATTGATTGACTTTCCTCTTCATAAAACTACACCTGACTTCCGCAAAATTGACGCGATGACACCGCGACACGCGGCTTATGCTATGACGGCAGTGGGGAACGAACACCCAATGTTGCCCCATTTTCTTCGTCCTTGGTTGCTATGCTTCACAGCCATATAGTAGAACAGAGCGAACTGCTGCGTAGTATACTCGAGCTTTAATATACAATCAGGTATTGTGATGGCGCCATGAGTGGCTTGCGTTAGCGAAGATCAATCGAGCCTTTTTTTATGCGTACCGAGATTTCGTCAGTCACTGAACGAGTAGTTTATCTGGCTTCTTAGGTTTGTGAAGTAGGCAACAGGCTCAATCATTTCGCTCCCTTTTGTTAGACAGTGCACTGCTGAAGACCAGTCCTGGAGCAACAATTTGTATTTGGTTGGTGGAAAACATCGGAAACATTCTCAGATTGCCACTCGAAATTTCCAGAAGACTTGCATGTTGTCAGTCTTCATCTACCAGGACTATGTCATCTGCGTACTCTAGATCTACTAAGGATTCTCTTGTGACTACAATCCCTGTAGTCAGACGACAAGAGAGAAGCCTACATATGAACGTCTATGATAAAATTGACTAGAATTGGGGAGAGTGGACATTTTCGACGCATACAACTCACCATAATCTCTAAACACATCCGTGGATGTTTGGGTATAGAATCTTCAAGAGGGTGATGTACTTACTCAACACCGTCTTCAGTGGGAGACGCTGCCATAAATCTTTTGATCAATCGAGTCGAATGTCGCCTTCAGATCTAGAAATGCGGGTAGTATTCGGCGTCGGTAAGTGTACCTGTGTCGCGAAACTTGGCGTAGGTTGGACATATGGTCGAAACACCGGCAAAGAGGTCTGGAGCCGGCTTGGTTTTCTGGGGTTTGCTGTTCCCGAGCTTCACTTAGATGTTTCATAATTATAGAACTTAAAACCACAGACACTTCGTCAGGCTGATTTCCTTGTGGTTACCACAAGAGGACTCACCTTGAACACTGGGACAATCAGTAATGGAAACCAGTAAGAGGGGATCATATCTGACTGATATACACTAATTAAAACCTCAGTTAACTTGACCAATAATCCTCTACTTCCGTCCTTAAGTACGTCTGGTGCTAGTTTGTCTGGCCCAGCTGCCCTTTCGCGTTTTAGATTACTGTCAACCTTCCAAAGCTAGGGCTTGCAATGGTCTTGCTGCTGTTTTTTCTACACCCATCTATGCCTACACATATGTATGGTTGGACCAACCCATGATCGGTCTCCATACATGTGCTACAGAAAGGAGCGGCAGTCATCCATCGACCCTCTCTAGTGATGACTAATAACGATACGGCCTATCTGTGTCCACCGCTGAGTTGGTAATGGTAGATGCCACGTCAAACAGTGACAATCTTTGTCTGAAGTTTGAGCTGGTCATAACTAAGGAGTTGTCTGAGCACAGTTGTAGCTGGCGATCGCCGTTATCCGTCTGCTCTAATGGGATTTCAAAAATGCCAGCTAAGTGGTATTTCTGTCTGTCAGCCTACGCACTCCACTTGTTCACTGAAATCACCCGCTACGATTATCATGTCTGAACGTGGGAGACTAGGGGGTTTTCCGTATAACTCAACCTTCACTTCCTCTCAACTGCAATTAATAGGTACTTCGTCGAAGACTGTGCTATTCAGTCGAACAGCTTACAAGTGACTTTCAATTGGGATCGAGCCCAGTAGTGAAATTCCTGCCTTAATGTCTGGTGCCATACATTCGTCTGCAAGATTGCGGGAATTAGCCATCAAATCTCTAGGAACTGGAAGGGTGGGTTATACTGACTCACTAAATTGATTGGATAAGGTTAAGTGAATAACCGGACTTGGTTTCGCAAGCATGACTCAAATCCATGCTACGAGTTGACACTTTTGTCCAGCAAAGCTGGTTATTCGGTTTGATAGAGGGTGCTGAAATTGAGAGCTTCAACATGTAGTTTGGAGTGCAGGTTCAGGAGACTAGGGATGGCGTTTTATGAACTCATATTATTGTCAAGATCTGCAGCTGTTAGAAGGAATTATTGACCGAGGGATGTGAAGGATGGGGGACAGTAATCTGAGGGAACTTGAGTGCTGATGGGATTGTGGGGACATGTGACACTTCCTGGCTGCCCACTCATTGGAAGGTTATGTCTTCTTGAGTTACCGGAAAAGAAGGGTTGGTGATTGAGCCGAAACGACATCCTCTTGAGGCCTATGAGACAGCTTTCTCACAATTTTCTGTAGGTTAGTTTATTATATGCAATTCCAACAATGAACCCATGTTGCTCGCACTGGTATGTCGTGGAGTATAGAGTACTGTGTTATTTTAAGAGCCGGCCTTTTAAAGTCCTCCTCACAAGAAACGTAACATCAGCCAAGCACTGCTGGTCATCTAAGTGAGATACCTGAATGCTGTCACACCCGCGTCCATCCAGCTGAATGACTTCGCCCTCCCATGATAGCGTAACAAGTTACACTATGGTGGTAACTGCTTTTCTTTTCACCACTATCCAACAAACCTTCCTGGCATGGTAGAACCTTGAGGGAACAAGCGGTCTACTAGCATAGCTCATTGGGTCATTGTGCTGTGTGAACCCTACCACCATGTCAATATAACAGCTGTCGGTCGGGAGGCATAGTTTCAGCCCTATTCAATCAGCTACCGCACTGAATGGTTGCAACTGCATAACGATTTAAAACAATGCAGATGGATATTTATGTCAAACTTTAATGGGAAGCTCGATGAAATGCACATAGAAGCGAAAAATGACACATAGAACTATAGTCTGTCCAAAAAAAGACAGCAGTATTATAAAAATTATATGAATAATTAGTTTCGTCGTAGGACAGCTAAGGTGAACTGTGTTTCAAATGAGCGCTTCAAAGTTCGCATTTCAGTGTTATACAATTCTGGGTTGCATCGTAGCTAACAGACTTACCAAATACCAAGACTGAAGTAGGTGTTTGTTGTAGATGACCACTAATCCATCCTTCGCTTTGAAGTCTGATCCCTAAGACGACGAAGCAACGTTGAGTGCTACTTTCCTATAGTTATGGGTGACTGGGGTAGGTTTTTACACCATTATTCTGTTCCAAATCCTGTAGCCCATCATCATCAACGTAGGACCAGACATTACTGCGTAGCGGTCCGAGTTGCCACAGCTCAAATCAGTACATCAAGTAAAAAGGCAGTGAAGTGGAAGAGGAAGATAGTAAAATTCAGTCAAAAGAAATATAAAGTACTAAAACAGAGAAAGGAAGAATGAGAAAATGGCGAGATCTGGTATAGGGTTAAGATGAGGATAATGCGTGTACATCTGCGCCACTGGCATCGATTCTGAGCCATATCACCTAGAATCTGCAACCACTGGTTCCTCTTGTCCCGCGGACCCCAACCACCTAGTCTGCATCGCCCCACATGACTCAAACCAACAGTCAAAGACTTCATACATTGATGCCATGTTTTAGTCTGGTCACCTAGAGCCTTTTTCCAGCCTGGACCTACTTCGGCCAACATTCTGTGACGAGGCAGACGGCGACTAGGCGTACGTAACACGTGTCC